CAAACAGCCTGTTATATCATTCATATTTCATGAAGAATTGATCTGCTGGTTTCCTGGAAGTAGGCCATTGTGTCAACCCACATAAATCTTATTTATTTGCATAATTTTTTTCCCTGTCTATTTTCTCAATTTAACAAGACATTAATGTACAATAGGAGCCAGGACGAGCTGAAAGCTCATTTGCCCGTCATGATGTTTCCACGGTCATCAAGAAATTCCTGTCGACAAAAATTCCATCTCTTATCGCTCCTTCAGGTATGGAGATTATCGATTTTCTTGATGAACCATCACAGTTGCCTTCGTGGTTAAGTGAGGATGAACTTAAATATTTTGCAAACAAGTTTCAGAAATCGGGGTTTACTGGACCATTGAACTATTATCGGATGATGGATGTGTAAGTTTCCTAACTTGATTTCTATTGATGCAGTTTATAATTCTTATTGTATCACATTTACATTAAAACTGCACTGGTCATATATAAAATATTATAGATCTTCTTTTTAATCTTTCTATCTATATACAGTTAATTATGTAGATTTGATTTCAATTAGAAGAGAAATCCTTTTGCCGTCTCTTGACATCTTTAAAACTTTAGCTGTCAAAATATATCCTTAAACAATAACCATATAATTTCTAAGGGTGATTTGCTCAGAGAGACACAGCAATTAACGGTAACTAATTACATTTTAATAATATACAGTGAGGTTGATTTTAGAACCTTTTATTATTACTTTATTCAGATCATTAGCTTATGCGTTGTGAGCCAAAGTCTGAAGCAAGCTTAACAACAATGTCCTTAACAATGCAACAAATTTTTTAATGAATCTAACTATTTACTTTTTTTTTCCAGTGACATAGTTTGTACTTCTATTTGATCTCAACGCTTGATATATTTGATTGCAGGAACTGGAACCTGCTTGCACCTTGGAATGGAGCAAAAATCTGTGTACCTGCAAAACTTATAGCTGGCGACAAGGACATAGGTTTTGAATCGTTTGGTACTAAGGATTGCATAACAGGAGACACTTTTAGAAATTATGTGCCAAATGCTGAAGTTGTTATTATTGATGGGCACCATTTTCTTCAGCAAGAGAGAGCAGAAAAGGTTACTGAAGAGATAATGACCTTCTTCAACAGCATAACTAAAGAGAAATGAAGAATCGATGAGGAACTTCTTTATGATGGGAATTGACCAGAAGTCAGTATAGTTGCCGATGTTGTTTCAGCTATACATTGAAGAATATTTTTGTTATTGGTCTGTCTATGTAGTAATTGCCCTAAAAATACAATTGATTGCCGAAGTATGTCTATTCTTCGTATTTCGATGATAATTATTCTGGTTATGCTTCTGTTACAGTAAAGACTTAAAGGAATTATACAAAAATAAATCTCAACCAGCATTTCATTTGCCAACTACTGTATTTCTTAGTATAGGAATGGTATATGAACAGAGCCAAGATTGATCCCGGAATGGTGTTTACGCGCATCTGTCACAATGTATTGCCAACCGTAGGAACCAATTCAGGAACAAATATTGTCTCATCTTATTTTATTTTATTTTATTTCTAATAGAAGATAATTACACTTAGAAAGCTTGATATTAAGTTAGTTTCGCATGATAAAAGTTTCAAAGCCGAAAGTATTTACCATCATTATCTTTAGTATTAGGAACAAACAAGCAAGCGGATTGTAAATATTCATCTAAACAGAAACTTTTTTTTTAAATGCATGTATATATATGTTGAGGTAATTAGATGTATATTTTGTATAAAGTATTTAACAAGTTATCTATTTGAAAAAATTTTGATACATAGCACTAACGTGATTCCACAATCTAGTCGTATCAAACATGATCTGATAATTCTCATTTGTGTTTTAGTCATCAACTATTTCATCAACTATTAAGGTTTTTGTGTAACCTGTTTTGAGTGATATTCTCGGTGTTATTCGCAAACAACTGGAGGGATTGTATGATTTTTTTTACCCCTATTTTGGAGGCCAAGCTTTTTCCAAAGAAAATTATGAGGTAGTCTTCTTTAATTAGTAGCTGTTTGTTAATAAGAAATATAGCATACTTTTTGGTCAATGGACAATATTTTTCCATTACCAATGAGCAACAGGTACAATCAAGCATACAGGCATAACTGCATAGCACAAGATCAAGATGATATCAAGGCTAACCATATGAAAATACACCTCTCAAACAAAAAACTCAACAAGTATTAATAACACCCCAATATAAACGCCAGATCACTCTTATGTACAACATAACTGTCAGGAGCCTAATGTAGCCACAACGCCGAAAGCCCACAGCTGCAATGGTTGAAAAAGGAGCGCGTGGGCCCCATTTCTTTGACAATTGAAAAGAAAAACAAAAATGGCGAGCCCCACAACATAATAAAATATTAATATTTTATTATGCATAGTATTTTTCCAAAAACTATAAATAGGCGCTAAATCCTTAAGAAAAACTCATCCCAGAAACAAATCCTTATATAGAAGAGTGGGAGAAAAAAAAATAGAGAGAGAGTATCTCCTTGTAAAGAGAGATTGTAACTCTAGAGTTTTCTCCTCATAATAGATTCTTCTATTCTTGTCCGTGGACGTAGGCAATCAAGTGCTGAACCACGTAAATCTATGTGTCTAACATTTTATCTCTACTTTTGCTCTACTATTGCTACGATCCTGCTCTATTAGACCCCGAGTTTGTCCCAACAAGTGGTATCAGAGCTAACTTAGGGTGCTTGTATATATCTACTTATCGTATGCTCTGTGGCTGTCACCAAAGATGGATTCTTCACATCAGAAAATAATTTAGGTTATCATTTACCCTTTGAAGGTGATTGGTACTATTCACGAGTACGGTACTGTTCAAAAATATGGTACTATTCACAAGTATGATACTATTCACGAATACGGTTACTATTCATAAATACAATTACTATTTATGTGAAATAGTAAGAAGTTACTGTTCGTGGTAGAAGCAATGGCGGCAAAGTTCAAGATCGAGAAATTCGACGGGAATAATTTCTCACTGTGGAAGTTGAAGATAAATGCTATCTTGAGAAAAGATAATTGCCTGGCGGCCATCAATGTAAGGCCGGACGTCATCACATATGATAAGAAGTGAAACGAGATGGACGAAAATGTTATTGCAAATCTCCATATGGTATTAGCAGACGAGGTGCTGTCAAGCATAGAGGAGAAGAAGACAGCAGGAGATCTGGGATACTCTAACAAAGCTATATGAGGCGAAATCCATACACAACAAAATCTTCTTAAAAAGGAGACTTTACACTTGTAGGCATCGAAAATTGCCTATAGGTCTCCACGAACGGTTCAGTGTTAAAGAGCGACGATGAACGTCACTATCCGATCCACAGGAGTTCGATTGACGTCGATGAACGATTGAAGTGAATCGACGAACTACGTGAGCTGATAGGATTTCGGGATAACGAAGGCATGGGCTAATCGAGAGCCCCGCGATGTTGCAAAAAAGAACAACGCCCTTCGTGTCTCGTTCATTTTACAGATAATCCAACCATTGGAGCAGATAGAACTCTTCGTCAAGCTTCCAACGCACTTGGAATCACTCAAATCCGAGTTCGGACGAAGAACTTACAGCGGAAGCGGACGAATGCACCTCAACGGAATGTCTCAGAAATTCCAAAACACCCCAGGGGTGTCTCGGAAATTTCCGAGACACCCTAGGGGTGTCTCGGATTTTCTGAGACACCCCAGGGGTGTCTAGGCTTTTCCTAGACACCCCAGGGGTGTCTAGGCACCCTAGGTGCCCCCATTGCCTATAAATAGCAACCTTAGGCCTCATTTTTGAGGATCTGGATTTTTTTGGAGAGTTGGCGAAGCCCTGCTGCAGTGAAGAGTGGTCGAGCGCTTCAACCGAGGAGAGGTCTTCATCAGAGTCTTCATCACCCGTCCCATTTCCTTAGTTTTACCCTTCGCCGGTAATCCTAAGAAGAGCAAATATCTCGTTTTAGCCGAGATAGACGCTTCAAGCTTCTATATCTCCCCGCGGATCAACGAAGCTCTGTCCGATTTTTTCTGGAACAGATCTGAGTGCCAGGTAGTCCACGGATATCGACGTCCCCGTCACAGGCCAAAGACCCACGCAAGCAAGAGACGATAAACGGATCTTGCGTTTATTTTCAAGAAAGTTGTAATTTTTATTTTTGTTATTTGAATTCATTTGTAAATGATTAAAGTTCTAATGAAATCAATGATGAAGGCAACTTTCGACGAAAACAAGCTGGCGACCACAGTGGGAGCCAACGGCCTCGCTGCCGAGGCCGTCGTGACGCAACCGACATTCAAGATCCGGGTGAATGAAGAGATCAAATACGAGTTCGATCGACAAAAGTTTGAAGAGTACCTCTCTTCCTCCCCCTCCAGATCCGCCTATCCGAACAGGCGTAGGAAGGCATCCTCTTCCAGAAATGTTCGCGGGACCTTCGGTTCCAGAAATGTTCGCGGGACCTATCCGAACAGGCGTAGGAAGGCGTACGAGTCATCGATGCATCAGCTCTGTTAGTTGGTCTCGTGACTCGATCATCCAACAACATTAAAATAAGATCCACACATGCAGATGAATCGTAACCTTAGGTCAACGCCAGTCAACGCGTTGCGACAAAAGTCAACGTTCGAGGATTCAAAGTCCACACAAGTCGACGTTCGACGATCCATAACCCTAAGGGTCAACGCCGGTCAACGCGTAACCCTAGGTCAACGCCAGTCAACGCGTTGCGACCAAAGTCAACGTTTGACGATTCGAAACCCTAAGGTCAACGCCGGTCAACGCGTAACCCTAGGTCGACGCCAGTCAACGCGTTGCAACAAAAGTCAACGTTCGAGGATTCGAAATCCATGAAAGTCAACGTTCGAAGATTCGAAATCTACAAAAGTCAACGTTTGACGATTCGAAACCCTAGGGTCAACGCCGGTCAACGCGTAACCCTAGGTCAACGCCAGTCAACGCGTTGCAACCAGAGTCAACATACTGTGATCCGAAACCCTAAGTCAACACAATGTGACGGAGGTAGTTCAAAGTCAACTCAATGACACGAGCCAAACTCAATTCATCAGCTGCAGACTCGAGACTCCGACGACGGCCAAGCGATAAACGCAGCACCGGAAGAACTTCGGCTATTCGTCAATGCATCGAATAGACCGAAAATCGAAGGAGCCAAGAGTTGAAGCTAACTACAGGTCCTTACGCCGACTGAAGGCTAGACCAATCACATCCAAAGTATTCCAGCCTCTTCTATAAAAGAAACGAGTTCGGAACGCTTTGGAGGGGGTATCTGTAGGCATCGAAAATTGCATATAGGTCTCCACGAACGGTTCAGTGTTAAAGAGCGACGATGAACGTCACTATCCGATCCACAGGAGTTCGATTGACGTCGATGAACGATTGAAGTGAATCGACGAACTACGTGAGCTGATAGGATTTCGGGATAACGAAGGCATGGGCTAATCGAGAGCCCCGCGATGTTGTAAAAAGAACAACACCCTTCGTGTCTCGTTCATTTTACAGATAATCCAACCATTGGAGCAGATAGAACTCTTCGTCAAGCTTCCAACGCACTTGGAATCACTCAAATCCGAGTTCGGACGAAGAATTTACAGCGGAAGCAGACGAATGCACCTCAACGGAATGTCTCAGAAATTCCAAAACACCCCCAGGGGTGTCTTAGAAATTCCGAGACACCCCAGGGGTGTCTCGAAAATTCCGAGGCACCCCAAGGGTGTCTCGGAAATTCCGAGACACCCTAGGGGTGTCTCGGATTTTCTGAGACACCCCAGGGGTGTCTAGGCTTTTCCTAGACACCCCAGGGGTGTCTAGGCACCCTAGGTGCCCCCATTGCCTATAAATAGTAACCTTAGGCCTCATTTTTGGGGGATCTAGATTTTTGGAGAGTTGGCGAAGCCCTGCTGCAGTGAAAAGTGGTCGAGCGCTTCAACAGAGGAGAGGTCTTCATCAGATTCTTCATCACCCGTGTCCGTTCCTTAGTATTACCCTTCGCCGGTAATCCTAAGAAGAGAAAATATCTCGTTTTAGCCGAGATAGGCGCTTCAAGCTTCTAGATCTCCCCGCGGATCGACGAAGCTCTGTCCGATTTTTTCTGGAATAGATCTGAGTGCCAGGTAGTCCACGGATATCGACGTCCCCGTCACAGGCCAAAGACCCACGCAAGCAAGAGACGATAAACGGATCTTGCGTTTATTTTCAAGAAAGTTATAATTTTTATTTTTGTTATTTGAATTCATTTGTAAACGATTAAAGTTCTAATGAAATCAATGATGAAGGCGACTTTCGATGA